GTCACCGGTTTGCATCAAAGCCCCTTTGAGGGTCGAGAGCAGAAGAGGAAGCCCATCTGATTAGGCGGCACTTTCCCAGCACTGCACTTCTGAGAGGACATTGATTTTGGCCCGAGTCTCGCAGCTGCAGGAAGTCGCTTTTCTGAAGTTCCCGGTTAGTCTGCTAACACGGGCCCATCCAAGAAAAAGACTACAGTACGATGTGGGGGCCAAATGCAGAACATGGGCCTCACCTGAGTCTGGGTTCTTGGACTAAAAACCAGAGGAGGGGGTAGAGATCTGTAAAGCAGATTTATATAGATGTCACATGTAATTATTTTTAAATTCTTCATATAAAGTTGATTGCAGATTTTATTACATCTGACTTGTTACTTCTTCTGCTCTAACGTCCAACCTCCAAACAGAAATATGCCAGAAATGCTTTATTTTTATTTTACTGGAGCATGTTAGAATAAAAAGTCACCAGACAAGAAACGAGACCTTAACAGGAGCCATTTAATGGTTTCTTATTTCATTGTGGTCGATTGCAAGAAACATTAAAAGTTGCCTGCGTGTTTCGAGCACAGGGAGTACACGTAAGTCTAGCCAAAAAAACCTTTGAGGAATGACCCGTTTTCCAACATTTATGGAAACACCATCCTAAATAAACTGCATTATGGACAAAAAAATAGACAAAAGCGAAACCAAGCCACCACAAATGACCTGTGTACCTGGAAAGCTGTATTTTTTTATTTTTGCTCTGAAAACAGTGCATCCAATTCGAGAGCAAAAGGGCTGCAAAACCCTGCGGTTACAGTTTTGCTGCAAGATTGATGGCAGTAAAAGGTTTTAACGTGTGCATGCCARCAATCAAAGAGAACACTCACTTCAAGGAGCTGACATCAGGCTCCAAGAAACATGGATGTCAACAGGCCTCTCAGCTGACCTGTAGTGAAAATCCTGCAGCTCCACCTCAGTGTCATCAAGCCACAGAAAGGGATTTGGGAGGTCTGAAAAGTGAGGCTTGGAGAGGGAACGGGGTGAATTACTGGTAGCTGATTTGCAAGAGGAGATAACTAAACACAGCCTTTGTGCTTCCAGGGAGGGATTGCGAGAACAAGTGTGGAACAGATAGAAATCTCTTCCAATCCCCCCCCCCCCCCCCCACCCTTAAAGTACAGCAAAACCAGGTTTTAAGCTTTGGATGAAGTCATCTGGGTCAATGAGTTTGTAGAGCGCTCACACAATAAAGGAAAGTCTTTCTGCAGCTAAAAAATCATCACAAAACCTACCAGCTGAGAACTTTATGTTTTTAGAAAAAGATGGTGTTAGTCTTTGTATTTAAAAGAACAATTTACGTTTCAATAAAAAAAAACCTATCAAAACATCAAAAGTTGCATTTCAGTATGAAACCAGTTGCAGTCAGAAAGCTATTATTTTTTAAGCTCCAGTGCATCCTGGAACATGTCTGTCAGGAATCATCAGATTTCTGCTCAGATGCAAAGTTGACAGAAGTGTAAAGGTTTATAACATTTGTATGAAACATTATGAGCTTTTTGTAAGTGGACTGCAACCCATCATGGTCTTTGTCCAGCTGAGACTTTACAATGGCTCATCAACCAGACAGAACCACACTGACCTTTTTTATTCAGACAGGCTTGTAATTAAGTTTTGTTTTCTGCTTTTTAAATTGTTCTTTATTATATTTGTGCACTGTTTTTATTGTTTTGAGTTACTTCACTTTGTGATGTTTGTGTCTGTGAAAGGTGCTGTATAAATAAAGTGTACTTTATGACCTTACTTAACTAAACTAAATTAAAATGAACAGACATCATTTGTCATGGAACCACTCTGTGTCTTAAAGCGCTTGAACACATACTGTATAGGATGTGTAAATAAGTGTACACTTATATTAAATGTTATTTGAAACAGCTTTAATTTATGAAATCTGAGAAGTGAAGTCTGATTTTGAATCCATTTAGAACACCAAGATTCATAAGGTCTTTAGTCCAACAGAACCGATAGATAGATAGATAGATAGATAGATAGATAGATAGATAGATAGATAGATAGATAGATAGATAGATAGATAGATAGATAGATAGATAGATAGATGGATGATAGTTTGTTCTCTTTTATTTGTCTAACTTTTTGCATTTGTTTTGCCCTGTTAACCTTTTTAATACGATTTTGAATTTTAAATGGTGTCACATTAGTAAGGAACATGCATTTGTGGGATGAGCAGTAGAGCTAAGCATTAAAAAATTGCCAAACCTTCTCTGTCAAACAGATTATTTTACTGTTCATACTTGTTTTGAGCTTCTGCTCCCCTCAGGTGCTGCCAGTCAGGTGCCCAGTATAAGATTTATTGCCAAGAAGCATCGTTACAACAAAGACATAATCTAACAAACACAATTTTCCTTAGGTTTTGTGTTAAGTATATAAGAAAGCCTGATTCCTGTAAACAAAAAGTAAAGAAATTATGGATGATGCGACTTTTGCACAATACTAAATATTTTTTTCTATGTTTAATTATTAGTTTTTGTGAAACTTGTTGGTCAAGCTGCTTTTACGCAAACCAGGCAAGGTACAAGTGATTCAATACGTCAGCTTGTGCTCAACACATCAGTACAATTATTGCTTTACTCTGACCTACACTGACTTCCTGCTATATTTCCTATAAATAAAACAAAAGTCCCACTCTGTAGAGCTTTTTTTTGGTTTCTCATTTTTGCATTTCACAAAGGGGATATACGGTAATCTCCCTCTTTGTCTCTAGCAGCTTTCTCTTCCTAATTTCCCTAATTTAAATTAGTTAAATTTCAATGAACTAAATCCAAGGAAGAGAGTAAAAACACAATGGTAGATAGAGCATCTCGAAGGAGAGACACACAACCAATCAGTGATCAGTTTCACACATGAACCCAAAATGTAGACATCAAAACAAAATGAATAATCAAAACTGAGCATTTTATTGCTATATCAAACAAAACGTAAAAAGGAAAATACATTTCATTGCATAAATATCTTAATGTTGATTCAAATACAGTCAGTGCTGAAGTTCCTATTGTCTTATTTTTGTGTATGAAGAATATTGTTGAACATGTTTTGTCCTGCAATCCTTTCACAAAACAATGCAAAATGAATATAATTTAAATATGTTTTTAACATAAAAATGAATAATTTACTAAATACTGGTCTTAAGATGGTCATCATAAAATTATCTACACATACAAGACAATTTCTTGATATTTTAGAAATTTACATACAATTAAGGTGCACTTGAGTGCCAAATTTAACAAAAAATATAACAATCATAGTATAAAAAAACAATATTAACATACGTGACAATTTGTAGCAAATCAATATACTTACATACTTTCACATGTACTATTACACAACAGATATGTGGATCAGACTTACTTTGTCTAGCATACAAATATATGAGTCAACCTTATGAAAATGCCCAAAGACAACTCATCAGACAGACTCACAAGTTAATAAGTGCAGATGAAAAAATGCACCATGTTCTTGTAAATCAAATGAACAAACATGAAAAAAGAGAGGTGTTTTCCACAGTGACATCAGGCTGTATGCATATTATACAGATTCATGAATCTGTCTTAGAGAAGAACTGATCTCACTTAAACTTGCTTAGCATTTTCTGATTTTTAGTGTGCAGAATTATTAAGTCATGAGACGTCCTTCCAAGTTGCATTAAAAACAGTCTGAGGAACCAAGGAAGTTMATTAATTCAAAGAATGTGTCTCAAGTGTTATTGTTACATCATGGTAACTGTTTCAGCACATGTAACAGAAAAGTTACAAAGTTCTGCTTTAAAGGAGACACCCGCTTCGGATGTTATCATCCATTAAATGGACGTTATTAGGCGTTATCAGTCCCATAGAAGGAGACATATCCTGCTTTTAAATTCTTCTTTTTCACATTTAAATCATTCAGTTGGGGGGTCTATATAAAGTATGGTATGGTATGAGGGCCAAAATTAAGATTATTGCGCAACCAGCAGTTGCTACATCCTTGTAACGGKTTTTTTTTTTTTTTATCTATTCCTAAACCAGCTATTGATCTGATTAATGTTTGGTCGGCACCGGTAACTGAGAGGCCGGTGCTGGCAAATGAGGAGACTATTCATTTAGGTTAGCATCGGAGAGGCTTGCAACTAGCATGGATAAACTGGCATTGGCATTGGAGAGGCTAGCGACTAGCATGCCTAGGCTACGGACCCATTGGATTGCCAACTCCCTCCGCTATCCATTGGCATGGATAGGCTAGCGTTAGCATTGGAGAGGCTAGCAACTAGCATGCCTAGACTAGCAACCCACTGGATTGCCAATTCCTTCCACTGTCCATTGGCATGCATAGGCTGGCATTAGCATCTGAGAGGCTAGCGACTAGCATGGATAAGCTGGCATTGGAGAGGCTAGCAACTAGCATGCATAGACYGCTCACCTACGTTATTAGACACAAACTTTTTCTAATAAAGAAAACTTTCTCAAAAAATGGTTGACATACAAAACTTAAAATAAGTGACATGCACTGACAGGGGTTTCTTAGACAGAATTTACTGTTCAACATGACGTCAAGCATACATTTTAAACATAAAATGTATTACTGTAAAGCAGACAGCTTTAGTTACCACCTGAATTAGCAAATATGTTTGTCCTCGTCTATTGGTTGACGGCAGTTTTTTTTCCCTTTGGCCAAATTATGAGAAATGTCTCTATATGACATTATAAATTAAAATTCAATATAGAAAATCTTAATTAAATACCCTGTCAAAATCTGTAAAAAGCCCCAACTTGATAGTTCTGGCTTTTCCCAAAATAGTTGCTAGCCTCTTCGATGCTAATGCAAATGAATAGTTTCCTCATTTTCCAGCTGCTCAGTTATCGGTGCCAGCCTGTCATTAATCAGATCAATAGCTGGCTAAGGAATAGATATAACCTCCTGCTACAAGGATGTAGCAACCGCTGGTTGCGCGATAGTCTTAATTTTGGCCCTCTTACTGCGCCATAACAAAATGCTTTTAAAGGCTAAAAAAGTGGATTTTGCATGATATGTCCCCTTTAAACTGACAGCTTGGAATTTTTGAAGTTGAGTAGTTATCAGTGAGTAATTTACCTGCAGTATACAGGAATCTCAGCAATATCAGTTTGAAAATGGCTAATGGCAACTAAACTCAGGACTGAGTTGTATTCTTTCATCTAAAACAACTTCCAACCTCAAAAGTTTTGTAACAGTTTATATGAGAACTACATTAGAACTTTTAATCTGCATTATTTTTCACGCAATAATATTGATCAAGTTCCATTTAGCAGCAAAATTTTCTGATTACAAAAACACAAACATCTATGTTATCTAATGCAAAAGAGACGAAGTGTTCTCAACAAAGTCTTCACTTAAACTGCTGCAAAGATTTGGAAATAGACTCCGAAACGAGCCGCAGTCTGAGCAGCCTTTAGCTAGTTGCCGTTAACCATTTTCCACCCATTCATTTTCTATACCAGCTTTTCCTATCTGGGTCACGGGGGGTCACTGGTGCCCATGTCCAGCAGTCGCTATTTCTTAAAGTACAAAACCGGCRTCGGCTTGAGAGTGAAAATAAAGTTGACGCAGCCAGTGGAGGTTTCCCTCTGAGGTCAAAAGCTGTGATTCTTTTGATCCTGTTTGATTTGAACATTCTTGTGAGGGCAGAGCACACAGCAGAAAGGTGTGATGCCCGTAGCACCAAAGTGAGCAGACATGAGGAGTTGTAGCAACCTTAATCACCACCTTGTCTGTGGCGGTAAATGAATAATAGTTTAAAAAAATGTCTTGGCAGCACCACAAAAACAGTACGCAGTATTAGAAGAACCCATTTGCTACTTAAATATAGTTCCTATGTGTTTTATTATTAATCATGATTATAGCAATCTGACAAAAATATAATTAATAATTTACAATTTATTTAGAAGTTACCAAATTGCTTCATGCTTTCAAATGAAGGGTTCTCTCCTTAAATAAGCCCATATATACAAAATAGTGTGGTGCTTGGCTGATGTGCAAATCCTTACTTGATTAAAACATCGTCTCTGTGGTACTATAGATTGTCAGCTTATGTTGAGAGGAAGCCTGTGTTTATTTGAACCAGTGCAGGTAGTTTGTCTTGAGCGCTGGGAAGCACATGTTGTTGCTGCAAGAGCCCCCGTAGCTGGGAGGGCATGCGGAGCAGGGAACACCAACTTTGTAAGGAGCCTCTCCGATCCAGTTCCCCCTATAAGAATACAAAATCAAAGCAACATTTACCCTGTATGTTGGGTCTCGTGTGAAATATTAAACCAGACCACCCTGGACTTTGAAGGGAGATTGCTTTTTTTGAAGAAAAACATTCGAAAAGATGTTGGGTTTTAGTCATTTTTAGCATGACGAAGCAATTGAATTTTTGTCCTGACCCCACTCTGATTTATCCGTTTCTAGCCAACTGGTTTCATGCACGGACCTTGCTCTCTATCTCCACAGTGACCACAGTGACCTCTGCAGAGTGGAAAGTAGGATTGGCTCCAGGCTCACCACACTGTATCTTAAGACCACAACTGAATAGCTCGTGAGCCTGTTCCTCTTACATACAGTATCTTTTAAACTCAGGGGATTAAAGAACCTATAAATCACAAGTCTGACCCAGATTAGACTCTGATTTAGAGACTTTTTTCTTTGCTTCTGTAATGCAGAAACCAGTTCAAAGGTTTCTCTTGGGGTTATGGGAGTCCTGCATCAGAATGGGTGACCTTTTACAACCTAACACTGAACAGAAAGAAGCCGAGCTGTGATTAAAGCTGTCGTTAGCCAACATGTTAGTGAGTTCACAGTAGAACCAGGGCACCTGTTCTCCAATGTTTGTTATGTTCTGTCTTCTTCAGAATGGGTGTTCTGAACTGTAATTTTATTGTGCTCTGTATAATGACAATAAAGGTCTATCTTATCTTATCTTATCTTATCTTATCTTACCATGTCTTGTCTTGTCGTCTTGTCTTAACTTAACTTACTTAACTTAACTTAACTTAACTTAACTTATCTTATCTTACCGTAACTTGTCTTATCGTGCCTTGCCTTGCCTTGCTTTGCCTTGCCTTGCCTTGTCTTATCTTATCTTATCTTATCTTATCTTATCTTATCTTATCTTATCTTATCTTATCTT